CATTTCTTCACCCCAATAACAATTTCATTTAATAAGTGCTATTTATATGGATATTGACAGATGGAGTTGGACAATGACAATTGCAAAGTAAACGAAATTTAAATCCTCGAAAAGCGGAGAGTGCCAGAGATGGAGATATTACAAACAAATTCAAATTTAGTAACCGTCATAGCCTTTGAACTAATGAAAGCTATTGCAACATTCTTATAGGAGTTTACTACTACAAAAGACAGCTGCTGACCTAGTGCCTTGGTATACATAACTTAGCTACAAATGAAGTGTTAATGTGCACATGGAATGCATTTTTAGCTTCTGAAGGTCCCCAAGAAGTAGAATCATGTTTTCTACATTACCTTAAAAAATTCGCCAGAACGGAAAAAATTGATCATGTATTTAGATCAGTGCAGGAGGCAAAACGGGGACATTAAGATGGCAGGCTCTGTGCGTGTTGTCATTCATTTCTACCCTGTAACCAGGATTTCGGTTTGGTGGTAAAACAAAAAACAAATTCATTTACATTTTTGTACCGAATCTTCGGAACAAGACCGTAGAATCAGCTAGAACAAGATTGCCATTCAAAGTAATAAACATTATTTCCACTGAATTTTATTCGACCAAAAATTAAGAACAAAATTTGACAAATCTAAAAATATCCTCCTATAAAGCAAAAGAAGAATGGCTTAAAATACGGTGATATTTCAATAATAAACTCAGTACAGAGCCTAAAAGATGCTGAGCTCAATATCCTGTATCCCAAAGGGAACACTAAAAAGAAAGGATATTTTAGAATACTGATTTCCTGTTAACCATACCTTTTATAAAAACCTAAAACGTCAGATGATGCATCAGAAGAGGAGGGAAATTAGTCTTTTTATTCAAAACAATTTTGAATATCTTTTGTACTTTATTTTATGGTAAATAAATAAAAGCTTTTATAAAATTTGTGTTTTTACTTAGTCGACTTAATTTTATTTTTTTTTTAATTTGGTTGAATCAACACTTTTTCTAAAAAAAAAAGACTAAAATCAATTGCTGATAGGACTCAGAGATACATTGAATACTAGTGAAGTTGATTCCGCTGAAAAATTAGTGAAGTTTTCTAACCATCTGATAGAGTAATTTTGAAAACACAATTTTTCATTTCACCCTCTCCCTGTCATAAAGACTCTATGGTGTAATACATGGTGTAATACATCAATCGACGCGTCTTGTGTCGATTCGAATAATTGTTTGTCAAGGTTTATCTCTATCTCTCTATCTCTAGCTCTATTTATCTTTTTTTTTAAGCAAATTATTCCAGAAAAAGCGTTTATCCAAATCTTCTACTAATGAACTTGAAAAATGCGCCAGATTACTTAGAATGTCGAGTAGTAATAGGTAAATGTTTATTTTTTCCGAAAAGTCGGAAAATTCGGAAATTTGTTTTTTACGATTTTCACCAAACAAAAAAAATTACAGGAACAGATAAATCCGCTATCGAAAAAAGTTGGTTTCGCTGGAAAATTAGTAGAAATCACGTTCCCAAAGAAAAATTTAAAATGTTCCTAAAAATTTTGAAAAAGAAATTTTTATCTTTCGGAAGTAGGAATCTTTCGTTATTTAGAATCACCTTTGTTTCTTATCTTCCCCTAACTTACATAATTTCTTTTTAAAAAATGTAATAAAAATATTGAGAAACACCCAATCTAAATCTATTAATTTCCTTTATACATAGACCGGTTCTCATCTTTAATACCCTGTATGTCAAAATTAGTATACTGAAAGACGTCGTGATCCTTAAAGAAAATGCGCAATTCTTTGCTAGTAATTTCTGAAATTCCCGGTAGCTTAATTAATACACACTTAAATGCAGACAATGAAATATTTCGAATTGTATCATTTTTTTAAAAAATTCGACATAGTTTTCAACTCGATGTTCTGTACAATATATAAAGATACTTATATAAATTAATTTATTAAAATTAAGAACATAATTCTACAGAGGAACTTAGTAAACAGATAATTTATTATACTGCAATGGTATATACCATATTTTTGGCTTGTAATATCGATTTTTCGTTTTCATTTTATCTTTAATGTTTGAAAGTTTTCTGTCGAAAACATCAATCTCAGAGAAATACACGTTTAACCTTATGACTATGCACATTTGCAATAGTTAACTGGTTGTTGATATACAGTGTGTCCCAAATTTGAGTTTCTATATTGATAAGCCGCTTAATATAGGTGATAGAAGGTCGGTAAAATGGGGAATGTCTTAAAGAATTTAATTCTCATTTTGAATCTATTTTCAAAGTTATTAAAAGTTATGTAGTTTTTGACTTATTTAAAAAATCAGGAAATGCTCGAAGTTAGCATTATGGAGAACATTACAATAGTGACTCAAATAATCTTTAGAGTCTTTATTTGTTATGTCAGAAGCAGATTCCAAATCAGTCTCTGTCAATAGTTGTAGAAACAAAATTGTTGGCATGTGCAAAACAACGAGAAAGGAAGGGTATGAGAGCCCACAAGATTAAATTACAAGACTTTTCCAACTGTTTTAAATTTTCTGGCGACGCACACTGGGGCAACAAGCCCTCAAACTTGGCAATAAATAAAAAACTTAAATAGCATATACACTCTACCTCATATTTTTTTCTTATATATTACTGTCCACTACATAATAAAATGAACAAGTGCGATCTTCTGTCTCACGCGTTTCATCGCCACCTTCAGTCAAAGTTACTTATCTGAGGCGAGTATACAGGGTGGCTCACGCTCAACGGGACGGAGCTTTATGGGAAAACGACCAAAGATATAAAAAATTCGTTTGGGAGAAATACGTAGGTTACAGACGGCTACAATTTAAAATTTGTTAGATGTATACAGAATGTCCCACATAAGAGAAAATATACAAAGTTATATTATTTTTAATGGAACACCCTGTTTTTTATTTTAGAATTAAAAACTACATCAAAAATAATGTCAGTTAACTAAAGGTTCCCTATTAATATTATTATTAGTTTTCGATTTATTTGAATTTTTAAGGTAAAAAAGTCTCCCAGAAATTAATTGTTTACTCTTGTTTGAATAATTTTTAATGAACTAATTTTTTTTTCGTATGTGGGACATCCTGTATACATCTAACAAATTTTAGCCGTCTGTAACCTACGTATTCCTCCCAAACGAATTTTTTATATCTTTGGTCGTTTTCCCATAAAGCTCCGTCCCGTTGAGCGTGAGCCACCCTGTATATTCATTGTTATTTTGTAGTTTTTAACTTGTTTTTGTACTATGATTAGACTGTATTTTGATTTTTTTTTTCAAATTTCAACCATGGAGCCTTTAAGTTCAGCTATGTAATATTATTTTAATAAGTAAAAAGTTGTAGAAAAATAAACGTAATCTTATAATGTTGGGGTTAAGTAAAATGAAGGTTAAACGTTAAAATTTTAAAATATTCTTAAATACATGAAGGCTATTTGTTGTGTTCCAAAGCAGTCCAAGCTTTAAATTTCGACTTTTCATAATGAATATTGTTTGTACTTTTCAAAATTGTTTAGTTTCTGTGCACATATTTGCACTTTTCTTCACTATTTGGGTTTTTCAAAGTATATAAATATATGACGGGACGATCATCAAAAACAAATTCTGTTTTTTTAAGTATATTTCGTTTATTAATAAATCGATTTTATTGTCCTTAGGTTCATTTTATAGGCAACTAAATATGCTCCCAGATAGACATAACAAAATGCTAGAAATGTAAAATTTAAGATGGCTGACCTAATTGAAGAAAAAAAAACGAGCCCAAAAGTAACCCATTTTAAGCTCGTTTTGCGTAATAATTATAAATTAAATATAAAATCTAATAAAAAAAGTTAAATATCTAACCTAGTTTCTTTATTTTAAGACCTCTCCGAGCACGATTGGTCCATTCAATCGTAAGATATAGACAATCAAAGGTTTGGTTTTTATGTTTTCATAGAAGCCTATAATAACACATTATTATGCTTTGCAACGCTGCTATTTTATTTTTTGACCGTTTTGTACTCAATCCATCTGATTTGGTAGGTATGTAAACTTTCCGACCACTATGTTTTTATCGAGAAAGAAACTTCTTAATATTATGAAAAGTTCTGGAAAGAATGAAATTAATATAATTTGCTCACAACACCGTTAGATACTTTGTTGAAAAGTACCCACGGTCAATATGCCTCCGACATTGCACAAATACTTTTTACTTAGTTTCGACCTTGTAATCACGAGCAAACGAAAATTAAAAAAGCAATTAAAGAAGCAGTAGATTTGTTTAAATCTGGACTCATTCAGCTTCATAGCCATGGTATATTCATGACACTGATGATGACCGTGGAGACGATGAAAAAAATGTCTTATCACATTCTAAAGAGGATGAAATTTGATTACAATTATCATAGCTTTTCTAAATGAAATTATTATAATATTACATTTTTATTATCTGTATCTTTAACGTGTGGAGAGTGGATTACCCCCACGGCACTTAGGCCCTCATTAGGCTCATGACATTTTTATTATATTATATGTTAGTACTTATTACAACAGAAAATACATAGAGGGCTTATAAAGTGTTTGTTTGCTAAAAAAATAGAAAGTTATTAAGAATATAATATAATAAAAATGTATATTCTATTCTATGTATTTTCATTGGTAATACTAACACCTCTACAAAGCAATATTTTACTTACAAATTCATAAAGAAAGTCTGTGATTTATTGGCAACTTTGATGGCTTGTTGCCCCAGTGTGCGACGCTTCGACCCACTCACAGAGAGAAATTCATGCTCATTTTAAGCAAAAATAAGCATTTCTAATAAATTTTGTAATCAAAATTCTTGTTTTGGCTGTAGGATTCTCATTTATAATTTTTTTGGTTATTTGCATTTTGGTTTACAATCCAATAAACGTGGCAGATTTCCTTTCAATTAGGGTGTTTTGTGTTTCATATAATATTTTTCTGATTTAAATTATCGACACTTTGTTTTTTCAACGCTTTTTTTGTTTTTTTTTTTCAAACAAATTCAAGTTGGAATGCAGAAACTGGAAATAAATTTCACTAATTGGCCTTTTAAAGAAATCTGAAATAATTTTAGGTGGCCTTTTTTCTGAGTCAAACAAAAATTTGAGTGGTGTCCAAAGTTTCAAGATTCTTTCAACCGCGGGCATTAATGACAGCCATCTTGTTCTTGAGTGTGACAGAAGATTCTGGTGATTAATATTAACAAACGAGCAGAACACCTTCAGCTTTTCCGTCCTAACAGTGTATATTGCAAAATCATTAAATATTTTAAGGATGATAACTTCGACATCCAAAGATAAGATTCCAGCAGCGCTTGACATAGTATTGTTCAGAATTCCAATCCAATTCCTTTAATAGATTAAAAGATGTCTTCTTTAATTTTATGAAAAACGTTGCTTTGGCCGCTCCGTTCAAGCCCTCCAAAGTTGGTATTGGTGTTGTCCCCACAAAAAGCAATTAACTTATCCAGTGGAATCTGCAAATGTCTTAAAGTATCGAGACAATATTTGGAAATAGCTTCCGACGTTTCATTTTTTCAAGAATCAAACTTCAATAGCTTCTGTTGTATACCATAGTGTTCGGTAAAATATTGAACAAGTAGAGGAAACATCTTTTGAGCTTTGTGATTGGACGTATCAGTGCCTATTCCGTAATATGAAACTTTTTGCAATTTTTTTATTTCGGACACAGAATGTGGAGCCTTCGTTCTTGCCGTGGACTTTTTTGCTGCGATTTTAGAGTCGGGATACATCGTGGCGATACATCGTGACGAAGTGAAGAGAAAGATTGATGATGTTTAACAACTGTATAAGCTGTCGTTAGTTCCGCTGCCGTAATAAGAGATTCTTCTTAGGTATCTTCTTAATTCATAAATTCGGATATGGGCGGTGATGTCGTAAACAATACGTACAGACATAAAGTCTCATTTTCACGGAGTGTTCAAAGAAACCAAGGCTTTGGAAATCTATCTAGGATAGGAATATTACAGGCTTCTTCTGGTTTCTTCGAAATGTGCTGGAAACCATCCGAGATCCAGTGGAACAGTGAATACCAAATTAATCGTGCGTAAAACCATAGGTAAAACTTTCCACTGGTCTAGTACTCGGACAGTTTTAACATACTTAGGAGAACCAGAATAGACTTTAGATATATTATTATTTGGCTGACGCGACGAAATGTGCATTGCCCAGTTTCAATCGGGACATTTTAGTCTTTTGTCAGGACGTCGGGACAGATAACTCAATAACGGTGACAGTCCCGATATATCGGGACGGATGGCAACCCTATTTAAAACCAAACATATTTATTTATTTATTTTCCGTTACAACCCGTACAAACAACACAGAAAAATAATGAAACACATCATACGTCAAAATATTGTTTAGGTTTTTTGAAAGATTGGTTTAAAATTTTATAGATTTTTTTATGAAAACACAATTATGTGGTATATCACGTGACATAGCGAAAAGTTTTAAAGGTAAAATTATTTTTAAGTATTTTCTTTCAAAGATTTTGTAAAAATATTGTGAAATTGTCCAGATAAACAGTTTTCGAGATATGGCCAGACGCCGCCCTTAATAATTATAGTCATGCCGAATTTACATAGACAAATTTCACTCTGTGCTGTCTCTGAATTTTCTTGAAGAACAAGACTTGCCAGAAGCAGACCAACTGTCTACAAAAGCAGCTCATCCTGGCGAACTTAAAAAATATTTAACTTCTCCAGTTTCACTTAAATATTATTCAACTTTTTTTGCATAAAAAGTCTAAAAAAGGATTACTGGTCGCCATATTAAAAAAACGACCAATGTTTTTGTCACCTTTGTTAAAGATGATCAAAAATGGTTTATGTAGTTTGATCTTGAGTTTGCTATTTTTTTTTGAAAATGCCACTTTCAAACGAAGAAAAATTTTGTATGTTGTCAACCTATTTGCAGTTGTATCAAAAAACTGAAACAGCGTCCGCTAGATATTTGGAATTGAATCCAGAAAGACATCATAGAAAAATAGTTAAGAATTTTATTAATGTTGGTGCTTTCGAACAACAGCGAGTTAATTATAATAAAAATAATGAACATCGAGATAAAGTTGTGTTAAAAGCAATTAATGAAACCTTATCCACCTTTGTAAGATGTATAGGAGCAGAATCTCATACAACTAAACAACGATACATAGGATTATGCAGAAAAACAAGTACAATCCTTACTACTGTGCAAGAATAGGTTCTTTCGTTCGCTATTGGTGTAGTGTCCACCAGTGTAAATTACACCAGTTACACCACCTTATTTACCCTAATTTACTTCCTCCTTATTCCTTATACAAATCGTCGAGTGTAATTCACTCCTGCTAAATAGCTGGTGGAGAAAATATCCACCAGTGTACATGTACACCACATCGCCGACAGGAAGGTATAGTGGGTTTTACACCAGGCCAAACGAAAGGTATGGGTGTGGGTTGGTGTAGTTCATTACTACACCAGTGGGACGAACGAAAGAACCTAATGACTATCGTAGAAGAATGCAATTTTGTGAATGGTATAGTCAAAAATGCACTAATGAACCAGATTTTGATATGCTGACTACATGGACAGATGAGACTCGAATAACAAGCTGCGGAATATTTAATAGACATAACCGAATATTTTCAGTTGTCTTAAAATAAGTCAAAAACTACATAACTTTTAATATTAAAAATGGGTTCGAAATCAGCATTAAATTCTCTAAAACTTTCCCCAGTTACCCGACCTTCTATTTTCTATATTACGTGAGATCCAATATAGAAACTCGAATTTGGGATATCACTATAATATCACTTATAAAATTAATTCAACATTTTTTAAAACAAATTCATCTTAATTATAAAAACTAAATTAATTTGCTTACCAAATGCGTCTGTAGAATCTCACAAATACTTTGTGTCAACAAAATCTTATATACTTCCAAAACTATATGAAGCTAAAATATTAAAAATACCCAAACCTAGGTGCCGTTTTTTTTATAAAATTTCAGGCTTCGCAAGATTCAGCAAGGTTAGTACAATGATTTATTAAAAATAATAGTGTTAAGGCTTGTCCGAAGCTCTTTCGATAGTTCATCAGATGAATTTTGCCTTTTATTAAGTGCTTTAAGTCAACTGTCAATTGTCACAAATAGGGACAGATGTCATCTGTCACTCTGTCACATTATTTGTGTTACGAAAATACTGTTTTGATTGCAAAATTTGATGGAATATCAACTAGCTTCGAACAACTTTAATATTTAGCTAATTTTTGTTGGATCGGAGAATATTTCTTTAAAAGCTTGGGGAATTTAAACAGCCAACATAATGTTATTATCACATGCAGTTCAACAAGAATAATTATATCTATATGTTACATTAAAGGTTTTTTTTTTTTCATATACAATTCTATTTTTCTTGTTTAAATATATATTTTACAATAATTATCAACATGTCCTCGTATAAGTTTCCAAGTAAAAAAGCAAGTTCAATTCCAATGAAGCATTTTTTAGCTAAAGCGATAACTTCTGATGGATTTTTATTTTACATTGCAACCATTTAAAAAAAAAAACAACTTCTGACTATTCATTAGATGCTGATGTATTAGTTCGACCGCTTCCTGCAAAATGTATTAAAACAATGTATTATTCAAGTACGCAGACATTAATTTATAAAAAAAGTTTAATGAATTATTCATAAATTATAATGTATGTCGAAAAAAGTTAAAGCTGATAATATCCAATGGAGAAGAGGAAAATAAAATAAATTATTCATAACATAATAATTTGGATTGATGCAGATTCACCTCTATAAATTAACAATTGCGTACTCTAAACACCATCTCTAATTTGCTGATTTGCAACTCATAATAGTAGTTTTATCTAACGATTTTCAAAAAACAATCAATTATTAAACCATCAGATTTTACTCGCTTTAAACATAATGCAAAGTGTCCAAAACAAATTGCCTAACAATTAAGCGCAATTGTAAAAAACTTTGGCGGTAAATATGCCTACCTATCTAACTCTGTCATTTGTCAAACTCGCTTGTCTTCCGTCACTTGTCTATTTGTCATTCGTCGCTTGTATACCCGTCATATGTTACTTGTTATATAAAATTGTTTTATTCTAGTAAATTGAAAGTAAGTATTAGGCGATTTGTTTTCAAACACTTTGCGTTAGAAATTTCATAATTAGATATGATTTCATGTGACACTATTTGACACTAAATTTAATGTGTGCGTGTATCTACACTGTCCACTTGATGTACACTATATTTTGGAACTATATGTTTTCGGCATACCTACACTCATGGCTATTTTTTTCAGTTTTTCGTTTTTTTTTTCACAACTTTTATGGTACAAATTTTTTTATAACGATTTATAAACTGTCCCCAGTACTTTTCGTTTGGTACGTTCGAGCAGTGGAACCCGTCGGCAGCGGGATATAGTCTTAAGTATATTTTTTGTACTACCAGAAAATGTACCGGGGGAGACGTAAAGATAATTTTTTATAAGTGTCTTTGAAGCACTGTTTAGAAATGTTAATCCTTGTCGAAAGAGACAATGAAGGTGGACTCTTCTCACTGAAAATTAAGATGGATTTTAAGTGTTGTTGTTCGAATGTTGAGGCAAATAGGTAAGATTAGATTTAAAACGAAAGACCAAACAACTATATGTTGACAAGATTATTATTATTTTTTAAATAATTCACAACTACTTTTCAATATCTCTATTAACAGCTACCTATTATCAGAATATGATTTTTTGTTTTGTTCTATAATTTATTTTCGTAATTACCGGTTTTTTATTGACAACTAAATGTTGGGACGATAAAGACTTGATAGATCAGATCTAAAAATTAATCATAGAAAATTTCAGTTTTTTAAAAGTATAAAATAAATGAAAGATGTATCGTTATGTCAAACGTTCCTTTTTCATAACTCGTAAATGATATACATTCGGCAAACATTTAACAATAATTTCTGTACCAACCCTGTATAATACATCTTTGTAACTAAGTAATCAATAAATTTGGGCATGGGCAGTTTTGCAAGACAACGGTCAGATTAAAGTATGTAAAAAACGTCGTGCGCTATGCCCTGCACATACTTTGATTACTATACGGTGCAAGAGAGAGGTCCGACACGCCCAACATAGGGCGCGGCCATTTTGATTCCTATGCCATAGTTTATAAATAAAGAATCAGATCGCTCACTCTGCGTCGGCATTTTTGATCTCAATGTTCCAGTTTATACAATGCGCAACTCGGATAATACAATATATGACAACCGCCTATAATAAAACAGCAGCTGAATTTGAATCCCTGTAGTTGATGTTATTTTGGAACTTTCAACTGGTCCGAATGAGCTAACTGATTCTTTAGCAATAAACTGTGACTCCAAAAATAATATTCACTGACACTGACAGCAGTAAGCAAAATATCATTTGCGTTTTAATCATCCGCTACTGCTTCCGGAATTATCGGTTCAGGCGTTCTAACCTCTGTCAGATTAAAACAAGAAAACCGACAATTCCGAAGCAGAAGCGGATGATTAAAACGCACCTATTAAAAATATTGCGCCAAGATGTAGGCAGCACGTCATAAGGGATCAAAATGGCGGAGTTTTCTATCTCCTTTTAAAAGGCACTCAGAAAGCTGCGCAGTGCAACCATTCTCCGTATAGTAAAAGAAAATCAAAATATGTGATGTCCTGGGAAACCACATACTTTGATTACTATACGGGGCAAGAGAGAGGTCCGACACGCCCAACATAGGGCGCGGCCATTTTGAACCCTATGACACAGTTTATAGCTAAAGAATCAGATCGCTCACTCTGCGTCGGCACTTTTTATCTCACTGTTCCAGTTTATACACTGCGCAACTCAGATAATACAATATATAACAACCGCCTATAATAAAACAACAGTCTTCTGCGTATCCTGAATTTGTATCCCTGGAGTGGATGTTATTTTGGAATTTTCAACTGGTCCGAGTGAGCTAACTGATTCTTTAGCAATAAACTGTGACTCCAAAAATAATATTTACT